ATATTATCAGGAGGTATTCACCAAGTGTCCTATATTATCAGGAGGTATTCACCAAGTGTCCTTTCTTATCAGGACGATTCAACACGTGTCATTTGCTATCGGGGGGGATGGGGAGGTATTACTTGCAGAGTTTTTTTTTATATAAAACAAAATTGCATTTCTTGTCAACACTTTTTTTTCTCACGTTTTTATCCAAGTAATATTGACCAACGTTTTTACAGTGTTTCTCATTACATCTTAATGTCGGCAACGCTAAAAAACAACAACAACAACAACAAAAACCGCTATCAAGCAGACTAAAGTAAAACCACCAAAAATTCTTTATACGATAATAATTTATGTAAATCTTTACTGATTAAGTTTTACTTTATTGTTAGAATGTACTTTGTTTAATTTACGAAAAGTTAAGCGTGACATTTGAAACCGCGGTTTGTACAGGTTTAGGTTTACTCCATACAAATTTTATGATAATTTCAACGTCCCATAAACAGGAGTGATAAACCCAGAAAATACGACCCCAACGTCGGATTTGGTGGTATCGAAGCTGTACAATTTAGTAACAACTGGAAATTTTTTCTTTTCCGTTCAGCCCTCTGACGGCGATGTGGTAAGTCACAGTTCAAAGTGTTTTTGTTGAACTTGAATCGAGTAACTTCTGTCACTGATGAACCTTTTGTGTATTTATTATTAAAGCTAAACAAATGCAGTGTTTAAAAAGTGTCTTGGATCCAAAAACTACTCCGATAACTTTAATATTCTAAATACTTTATTTATTTTTGTCATGGCAATCTGCGATTTTAATCTTTTAGCTTAAATTTGCTGTTATTTGCAGGTTACGTACAAAGCCCTTGAGTTATTCGACAACTTAGCTTCGGGAATAAACGGTCTGACGCACCGACCTTCAGGTACGTATCGTGTTAGTTATTAAAAAAATGCTTATTTGTTTGTTTGTTATTTAGTACAAAGATATACAAAGGGCTATTTGTGCTCTGCCCACCGCAGGTATGGAAACCCTAGCGTTACAAACCACCCATAGTTACAGCTCAGCCACAGGGAATCTTAAAATAATTAAGTACAAAAACTGATTGTCAATATTCTTTGTTTCTGAGATAAATGATTACGCCTTGCCAGCAGTCATAAAATAAACAACATTGTTCTTCTTTAAAAAAATGTTAGGCCTAGCTAGCAGTCATAAAAAAATTGTTTTTTATCTTTCAAAAAATGTTAGGCCTAGCTAGCAGTCATAAAAAAATTGTTCTTTGTCTTTCAAAAAATGTTAGGCCTAGCTAGCAGTTATAAAATAAACATTGTTCTTTGTCTTTCAAAAAATGTTAGGCCTAGCTAGCAGTCATAAAAACAGTTCTTTGTCTTTCAAAAAATTTTAGGACTAGCTAGCAGTCATAAAAAACACTGTTTTCTGTCTTTCAAAAAATGTTAGGCCTAGCCAGCAGTCATAAAAAATTTTTTTTGGTTTGAATTTCACGCAAAGCTACATGAGGGCTATCTGCGCCGGTCCTTTATTTAGCAGTGATAGACTATAGGGAAGGCATTATATCGCCCCTACGGCTAAAAGGGTGAACATGTTCGGTGTGACAGGAATTCGAATCAGTGACCCTCAAATTGCGAGTCGAGCGCCCTAACCACCAGACCATGATGCCAGGCAGAAAACATTGTTCTTTGTCTCTTAAGACAATTTTAGGCCTAGCCAGCAGTCACAAAAATCATCGTTCTTTGTCTCTTAAAAATGTTAGACCTAGTCTGTATTCATCCACCTTTTTATTTGAACAACGACATAATGAAATGATTAATGATAATGGTTTTTGTATCAACTGTAACACTTTTACTGTTTTTTTTATTCGTAGTAACTATAAGATCTAATCTTATGTGTAAAACGTTTACCCCTTTTTTTACAGATGACCTAGACAGTAAATTCACTGTGTTTAAGTATACTAGTAAGTTTGATAAGAGTGAGGGACAAGCGACGAAAAACTTGGGTCGAGTCGTTTTCGACGACTGCAAGAGAGCATGTGTTAATTTACCACTGTGCGAGTCCTTATCTTTTTGTGGGTTAACGGGCGAATGCTTGCTGAGCACCAAACATAGCAACGAAATACCGGCTGACCACATCAAGAAAGATAGCCAGTGTATCATTCTAACGCGTAAGTAACCGTTTTTACTAACTTACTTATCTATCTACATACCTACTTATCTATGTACATACCTACTTACTTATCTATGTACATACCTACCTACTTATCTATGTACATACCTACCTACTTATCTATGTACATACCTACCTACTTATCTATGTACATACCTACTTACTTATCTATGTACATACCTAACTACTTATCTATGTACATACCTACCTACTTATCTATGTACATACCTACCTACTTATCTATGTACATACCTACTTACTTATCTATGTACATATCTACCTACTTATCTACGTAAGTATCTACCTACTTATCTACGTACATACCTACTTACTTATGTATGTACATACCTACTTACTTATCTATGTACATACCTACTTACTTATCTATGTACATACCTACCTACTTATCTATGTACATACCTACCTACTTATCTATGTACATATCTACCTACTTATCTATGTACATAACTACTTACTTATCTATA